CTCTTCTCTATATGATCATGACGTAGGAATGCATTTGGAGAAAAGATATAAATTAAAGGACGATTATTAAATAAGGTACTATGTATCGTATCTTAAACATGTTAAGAAGATGCAAGATAAGATCTTTAATTGACCTAGAAAGCAAAAGATTGCAAAAGCATCAATACAAACTAGGGAATAGTAATATCAGCTTAGAAAGCCGTCTTTTATTCACTTAAGCTAAACCATTTCACTTCATGCATAAGATGACATAAGCTCCCACTTCAGTTCACGCTGCAACAACACAAACAATCAAGAATATATGTTACAACATTAGAAAAATTTAGCTAGAAAACAAAATTTGACTATGGTGAATTAGAACAAGTAATTAGCCAAGTAAAAAAAAAAAAAAGGTGAGGACAAGCTTTACACTCGTAAAAGAAACTCTTACTTCTCGCAGTTTGTGCTCATGGAGATGGGATATGGAATACTAACACCACACTTTCCGGGAAGGCTAGAGGCTAGACTTGGGTTGAGACCAGAAATTCCCTTTGCAGCGGATTGTAGGCATTTGCACGCTTGTTGGCGGTCCGGTGTGGTTTGAGCCATACTGTTTAACTTTGTGACTCCTTCACAACATGGACCCGGTACCGCCCCGCCGTTCGTTAGGTAGTTGGCACATGGAGCCAAGCTACTTGCCACTGTGCCACATGAGATTGCTGCATTTACTGATGTAACTATGCACACCATCAAAACAAGGCATGTGAAAAACCTGAGAGCCAAAGCCATTGTTGTTTGGATTTATTTTTGGGTGATAAATAAGTTTGGTGATTTAGTTGAATTTGGTTGTCTAAGCTTGTGTGTTTGTTGTTGGATGTGAGAAAAGTGGGGAAGGTGATGATGGATTTAAATAGGGATTTTAGATGGGAAAATGATGATTAGGTAGGGTTTGTTAGTAGTTGGATTTGCATTTACTTCATTCGTTGCTTCTAGTTTCATCTACTAACGAGTTTTTTTTTGTCTTTCTTTAAACAATAGTATCACCATTGTATGTACGTGTATGTTAAAGGGATTACAAATATATCATGTTAGCATTTTAAGAAATTATTAGTCTATTAACAATTTGGTTATTTTAAGATATACTCCAAGATAGTGTTTCATCTACCAAGATAGTGTTTTGAGCGATGTTACAAAGTAACAAGTTTTAGTACTAGTATTACATTTTGTATGTGAATAATATTATCGCTTTGTGTTGACAATATTAAAAAGAAGATTCTTTCGTAAAATAGTAAAAACAAATTGGAATTAAATTCGTAAATTAGTATCTTCATTACATAATTAAAAGTTGTTTTTATATTGGTTTCGTTTATAATTAATAAGTACATTAATATATTTTCAGCTATTAGTCGTACTTTGTGAAGAAATACCGTCCAATTTAATGCAATGTGTAACTGAGGAACACGTGTATCCAACATCAAACACCCAGAACTCTCCCAACTAGCCCCATCAAATTCTCCAATTCCATTGGACCACCTTTTTGTTTTGATATTAATTTACTATGGCCATTTTGATAAAGAGGAAAAAGGACCTTGCACCACTATTGAAATACAAATAATAATAAAAGCTTAGCATGAATCACCCAGCGTAAAAGGTTTCTAGTTTCTATAAACTGGAAGAGTTTTTATACATGATCAATGTACGTAATTTCCGGTCATGCAGTAAATCAAGATTAGTCTACTTCCGGTCTCTTATAACATGGAGTATTAATTGCTGATGATCTAACTCATTATATATAGAATGCAATATATGTGTTTTACATGCATATTTAAATATCATTTTTTCGTATCCTTCAAAATATGTGTTTTAAAAATTTTCATTAGAAAGTTTTTTTTTTTTGAAAATAAGATGGTTTTGGCAAATGACTAGGGGACGTACGCTTTTAAAAAGTTAAAACAATGCAATATCTAGATTCGAACTCTTGATATCTAGTCATTCGAAAACTAAGTCTAAGTGTTGATAATATTTTTTTGGAGAGGGGGAGGGTGCTAAACTCTATTCCAGTAGCGATGAAACAACATTTTTTAACCGATTAAACCAACAACATTTGGGGTAAAATTATTTCATATTCTTTACATTTTTTCTTATTACTCCAAATCATCCATAGAAAAACATAACACGCTTATTTTTTGGTATCTTTTGAAGTACATAACTACATACGTATAATAAATATATATACTTTAAACCCGTATATATGCAGTTTATTAAATATATAGATTTTCTAAAATATTGAAATATTTTAATTTCATTTGTTTTCCCTGTCACGGAATTTTCATTTC